TTTTTATAATCATTGTAAGCAAAACGTATGGACAACCAGGCCCGTATTTAAGGGGGGGGGCACGGATAGGCACATGCCCGGGGGCGGCAAAATATTTTAGCGAAATTAATTTTAAAAATGATGTACTTAATGAAAAAAAAATAAGACAGTAAAAAAAAGAAGATAGTATGTTTAATTTTGTTATAATTTGTTTATTTTGTTGATTAAAAAAAGTATTAAACGATTTTCATTTAAAGTTATATTTTAATATTAAAAAATTTCGATTATGGACGAAATAATAGGTGATATATTATTATTATTTATTTTTGGGGGGAGGGCATAAATTATATGCCCGGTGGCGCAAAATTTTTAAATCAGGCCTGTGGATAACAATATATTTCAACTAATATTGATTAAATTTGAATGAAAAAAATAAAATAAAAAGTGGTATTAACTTAATATTAATATGGAACTATTTGGTAGTATTCAAACGCATCACATCAGGACTATACTTCAAAAAAACGAATCTTGATTAATTTAAAAAATAATAACTAAATTAACTAATTGATGGCGTGTGACTTTTGTTGGTATTGTTAATATAATTATGATTAAAAATTACGTTAAGAATCTATCATCTACTTATTTCACTAAAACATTTAATTTATTAATTATATTATATAAATATATGCGAGTAAAATATATTAACATTCACATAAAAATAATTTTTAAAATATAACTTATTTAGTCTTATAAATAAATTAAATAAAAAAAAAAAAGCTTTTTAACAATATTTATGATAATATTCATAGAACAATAAATAGTACCTTATCATTAATGTTAATGTTAATCATTCTTGTTTAGACCACATTTTTATTAATGGTAATTGTGCGATCGGGCTGCACAAGAAGCCGGAGGACGAGTTGACGCGCGTGTGTGTGTGGGCGCACGGACGGCGGGCCTACACGTAACCCGTCGTGTGCCATTATTTTACTGTTACAGCAAAATATGCTTCGATGACCCTATAAGGTAGTAGAGAGTGGACTGACTGTATATAATTTTAGGGGCGGTTCAAATCTGACTAATTTAAGTAATTAAAATGATGAGAGTTAGGTGATCAATAACAACACAATATTTTATATATATGATAATGTGCGTAACAAAATTTATTTGCTTGTTTCTGCAATAAAATAACTTACGTACTAGAGTTAGTATATGGGGCGCACAATCACAAGTCGATCGGCGGAAACGATTGAACAACTAAATATATATGGGCGGGCGCGTCGAAGACAGCAGAATAATACAAAAGTACGTCGAATTCGTGACGAATAAAATAATAATAATAATAATAATAAACAAATGACATCGTGTGCACGACCTGATAACCTGGCTGGCTCGATGATAACACGATGTTGGTGCTGTGATTGGTCTGGAACGACGACGAAACGATAGGCGTTGATAGCGACACTCGCACTATCGTCGAATATGACGAAAAACGTCGACGATACCACGTGCGTACGTGCGGTGGTCGACGGTGGTACGGAGGTAATCCAACTTGGACGATGCGATCGTTGATCGAGGGGATTGGGCGTGATATTTACAGATGCAAGATTTATACACTACAAAACACGGCACGCGTGAACTATCCGTTGTCGCGGCTCAAACGACAAACATAATAGACACGACGGTTTGCACTGCGTATAACGGGCGGGCGGCACACGTGGACTCAATCGCACGGCAAAGATCGGCCGAGCGATTCAAAATATAACAAAATTAGTAATGACGTATCAGACACCAGACGGTCGTACTAAAACACGTGAACGGCGTAAATGACACGGGTCGGGGGTCGCACAGCGAAAATCGGACGGGCGACGAAAAACACGAAAATACAGCTCGTGGTTTTGGCACGAGCGGCCGTGACTCGAATCGCACGAAACCAGCACGTGCGCGATGAGTCGGTGAGCACAGGGGCTCGGGTGAGTAGCCAAGACGGCTAGTTACCGACGAAAAAAAACACTACCCCGGGTGGTTAACGAGCCAAAAACCAAACGTTCGCGGACGCGGAACGGCGATTAGCTCGGATGAGCAAAAACAAAGGCCAAACATAGAAAAAAATGGCGGACTGACGGTGACCGGACACTGGATCGCGAACCTGTTCCGTAGACGGTGGAAGAATGATCCAAAACACGTCGGCGGCGGGGCACCGGCGACGGGCAACTTGGTCGCGGTCACAGCGGGGGTCCAGGTTGGACGCTCCGGTGCGACAACGTTACGGCATATTATTAATTGCGACATGACCGCGCGCAATTTGAATTAGAACTTGTATCCAACAGTAATGATAATGTCACAAGTAAAATTAATGCTGGTGTAATACTCACTGATATAACAGATCACTGTACGGTTTGTGTTTCAATTCCAAGTAATGCAAATTCTGTTGATAATCGAGAAATGTTTAATAAAATTGATTATAAATCAATACGTCAATATTAGCCAATGCAAATTGGACCGAAGTATATGATGCCTATAATGATGTCAATCACTGTTATAATGTTTTTGATCAAATAATTAAAAATGCAATTGATACATTTACTACTCGTATAATCTTGAGATCAAAGAACATACGTTTAAAAGAATGGATGACTAATGGATTATTAACCTCAGCCCGTCGCAAACAATTTCTTTCAATGAAATGCAAAAAACATCCAAATAATTTAACGTTAGCTTTGCATTATAAAAATACAAAAATAATTTCACAAAAACTATAAGGCTAGCTAAAAATAATTTTTATGAACAAAAATTTAAAAATTGCAAATTCTAATCCAAAATCGACATGGAATCTAATAAACGAAGTTACAGGTTCTAAATTGAGATTTAAAGATAATATTATCAAACTAAGAAATAATGAGTATGAAATAAATGTGAAAAATGATCCAATAACTGCATTTAATATGTTTAATAATTTTTTTATAAATATCGTTCAGAATAATATAAAAAAAACCAATCAATTCAGAGAATAGTCATGTTCCTAATAACGTTTCTTTTAATGATGTGTTTCTCAAAAAAAATCGAGTCATCGGACATACTAGATATTATTAAAGACGTATTAAAGATAGTTTTAAAGACGATACAGCAAGTGGTTTGGATAAAGTGTCCGTAAAAATGTTAAAATGTATTAGTAAATTGGTAGTGAATTCTCTTGTTTATATATATGACTTAAATATTGAACAAAGTATTTTTCTTGATACCTTAAAAGTAGCTGATGTTAAACCTTTGTTAAAAGTGGTGATAAATCGATTAGGATTAATTATAGGCCAATATCCATGTTGAGCAATTTTTCTAAGATATTTGAAAAAATTATCAAAGCCAGACTGATTGAGTTCTTAGAAAAAAAATAACTTATTATCAAAAAAAACATTATGGCTTTAGACCGGGGTTAAGTACTGAGAATGCTCTTTATAAAGTCACTCAATTTCTATACAGTAATCTAGATAATATAAATAAATCATTAGCAATATTTTTAGACATATCCAAGGCTTTTGATACAGTGAATCATCAAATCTTATTAAACATACTACCTAACTTTGGAATTTATAATTCGAGCCTAAACTGTCTTAAAAGCTATTTGCATAATATAAAACAGTCAGTTAAAATTAATGAAGTAAATGTTAACATATATGGAATTAAAAATGGTGTACCTCAAGGTAGTGTTCTTGGACCCATTCTATTTATAATATATATTAACGAAATTTGTAATATTAATTTTGATGGATCGATAATTACTTATGCTGATGACACTTGTCTTCTATTCTCACAAAAATCATGGGATGGGGTATATGAGAAAGCTTGCAGAGGTTTCAATCAGATAATAAACATTTTAAACAATATAAATCTATCTCTAAATATTGATAAAACTGTGTTTATGCTATTTTCAATTAATAAAACAGATTGTAAATTCAATACTATATCAGTACACGGCTGCATCAATAATAAAATATGTAATCAGGAAAACTACAAAATAATTAAAATAGTTGAGAAAATTCGATATTATGGTGTTATCTTTGATAAAAACTTAAAATGGAATTTTAATATTAACAATTTATTAGGAAAGCTACGTTTTATTACATTTAAATTGATCAAACTCAAAACCATGGTACCTAAACAAATAATGAAAATAGTATATTTTGCACTATATCAATCAAATGTCCAATATGGTCTATTGGTATGGCCTTCGGGATAAGATATTAAATGCACTAGTAGTTAATAAAAATAATATGGTCAGAATTTGCCTAAATAAATTCACTCTAGAAGGATCTACGAAAGCCAACTATAAAGAACTTGGTGTATTGCCAATAAGGTTTTTATATAAAAATAATTGCTATTATGTACTTGGTTAAGAAATTTAACTTAGATATTTATCATAAAGAGTTAAGCAATAAAAGAGAATTGAGGAAATTTGATTTGACTGTTAATTATACAAATAAATCTTTTGGTCAATGTTTTTTAGATTATCTTGGACCAACGTTTTTCAATTCTATGCCTTTTGAATTTAAAAAAAAAAATATTTAGGGATGAAAGGATTAATATTAAAGGCTTGATGTATAAATATTTATTTTTTGAGTTAAATAATGAGTTGTAATTTTATTTTAATTCTAAGCTATATAAATATTAACCTATGAGGTTTTATTTGTGTATCTTAGACAATATCTTTATTTTATATTTCTTTCTTTATCATATATATTTTCTTGATAATATTTCTAAACTATTTGTATGTTTAATTATGTACTTAGAACTTATACTCTGTATCTTGTAAATTCTATAATTATAATAATTGTATCATACTTATATATATATATATATATATAAGCTATATATTTAAGCTTTGCTTAAAGGAGAAAGATAATTAAAAATGTTACTCAATAATAATGTATTTATTTGTGTCTTTTACGATAACTAAAAAAAAAAAAAATAAGTGCATGCATTATACTGTGATTTTAAAGTTTGACATTTATGTTCTCTCCATACAGTGGCATGCATCACGCGAATAACTGCACGGATATGTCACACATTGTCAAACTTAAACAAAATCTGAACACTTTAAAGTTGTATCCGGAAACAGTGGACGTGACTTTAGAGAACACTAAACAGATGCCGATCTCGGGCTTTGGCGGTTGGGGAGACACGCGGGATCACAAGTTATGTATGCACATGATGAACCATTATGACGTGAAAACGCAAATACAAAACAGGTTTACGAAACCTTTAAAACGCTAAAAATGACTTTCACTGCTGACCATTTCGTTTTATCAATAAATATGTATTTTACTAATAAATAAATAAATACCTATTTTACTTTGTTATAACAGCATTCCTAACTGTTTTTATATCAAATAATTATATTCATATTGTCGTAATTTAAAGAGAACTGGTTAAAATAGTACATTAAATATTTTAATGTTCTAACTTGAATATTCATAAACAGAGCTCGGAAGTTGTAGCTCTAAAAATATTACTTTTAGCTCTTAAATATGCACTTAAAAACTCTAAAATATGCGCTATAAATAGCACAAAAAATCAAAAAAATATGCATTTAACTTGAAAAAAATGTAATTTTACAAATCGTTAGGCTCATTAGACACAGTCTGGACTGATTGAATTATAGAATGTTAACAAAAATATTAAATTACTTAAATATATTTGTAAAAATGTACTTATTATTAAATTACTTTATATATTTATCTTGATAATTATCCTACATTATTAAAATGTTTGATAATCTAATGCAATGATATAATAAGGGAATAACAGTGACGTCACTAATTATTGATACAACAAATTATCAATGAAAACATAAAATAATATTTGATGAAGTTATTTATTTCCAATAATTAAAATATTTTTAAAAACATAACCAAGTAAATACAATTATGATCAACAAAATTTGATTATTTCCTACATTATGTGAAAATATACCCAAAAATAGCAGTATAAACCCTAAATTAGCAAAATAGCTATAAAACCCGTAAATATGCAAAAAATAGCAAAATTAAATTTTGTGTATGATATCCGAACAGTGAGAAACATATTTGTTTCTTACTTTGGATGTTCTAGGATGAACCAAGAAAAATATGCATTTGCTAGAACTTCCGAGCCCTGTTCATAAATATAAATAAAAAATAATTCAAAACTTCATTTATTTAAGTGTAGATAGAATGATAACACGTAAGGCGATATTTTTTTAATTCATTTTTAATTTAATTTTCGTTTTAGTTAATTTATTTTAGTGTTACTTTTATTATGTATATTGGATTACAATGTAAATATATTATTTTAATTTTGCGACTTATCATTAAAACTACAAAGCATTATTTATATTGTATTGTTGTACGAAATTCCTATATAATCGTATTTGGATAATTTTAATAAGGGTATTTAATAGAAATCCTCGGTGTTCTTAAAATAATTTGTATTACGAAGCGTTTGTTCTGCAACTCGCAATAGTGAGGTTTGTTTATTTTCCATTTGCGCTGCTGTAATCAGATGGGTATTATATATTATTATGCTTACATATGTATTGTATTCGAGTACATTATAAGCCAACACAAACAAATGCATGCACGCTCAAACGTATGTCAACGAAAAAAATAAATAAGGTGGTAGGTATAGCGTAAGAAATTAATTTTAATTTAATATCGTAGGGTTTACTCGTTTGAAATGGATAAAAGACGAAGTGTTATATGCAAATTTGAATTTCATCAACTACTAATGATTTAAACCCATTGCACCCGTTGTAGCACTTAAATGCAAAAACAAAGACGTTTTACGTTTCAACTTTAGCCACGCGTGGTGGATATTATCGCGGCATTATAAATTATCGTTACCTTATCGTACGATTGAAGTTCGCTCTTATTTGCACGCCATGTACCCAATAATCAATAAAAATAACACACGGAAAGCATAGCTGGATCGTGCCGTGGTTTTAAAATTATTCATATCGGCATTAGTTGTTTCGCCCGATTTCGGATATATTCACGATTCGTTGGATCTCGTCATCAAGGCATGACTACGTGTATACAGCTGATATTGACGCTCCACGATGGAGTGATGAATAGGATTTGTTCAGGTTATGTAAGAGGTGAATGACAAATATCTAAGGTGATGAGTGAGGCTCCCGGATTTTAAGTGAACGGATCAAAAAGAAGGTGAAAGAATGAACTGAAAACGGGATTTATACGAAAGTAATCGAGTAAAAAATGCATGTCCGATACCTGGTGGACTCGAAATATCAAAATGTTTTATTGAAGAATGAAGAAGAATTTTAAAAAATCTATTTTCAATATATCTAAATACACGTAAGCGATAGAACAATGCATGCATGCACAGACGTACGTTGCGCCAACCCGGTACATTTTTAATTTTGGTTTACAATATTGGCCCAATATTTAACATATAATTACCATGAATTTGCATGACCATCTGCACAATTCGCATGAACATGGTTTACCAGTAAAACATAAAAAACAAGGGACCGGGCTGGAGCAACGTTGCGCTAGCCCTGTCCAATGCAAGTTTTGGGTTTCTTGCAAATTTTTTTCGGTCAATATTTAGCATGTAATTAGCATGATTTGCACCGTCCATCACCCAAATTCACACGACATTTTTTATGAGCTAAATAACTGATTTACTATTTCGACCGTTGCGCTAGCTCAGCCCCAAGTGTAAATTTTCAGATTTTTGCTAATATTTCTTGGTTTATTATTATCTATTGATTCTATAATGATAATAAGTATCAACAGTCTTGTAAAAATACTTTTAAAATACTATAATAAAAATGTATTTTACGAATACTCATAAAGTATTTGAATACAATACAAGTATTTTTTTTTTTTGATTTTATGCTATATAATATATATGCAGTGGTCGAAATGGCTCAAGATAAGTTGAGGGATGCCTTACAATTCAGATTTCCTGATATCATCATAACATTCTCCACACCTTGTGTACCGTAATTTTTTTTTTTTTTTTTATAGTTCACATAAGGTATATTATCTTAGTCCGTGGCTCTAAACACGGGTATAATATGAGTTGCGAAACATCTTATACTAAACAATACGATAAGCCGGGCGCTTGGGCCTGAATGTTAAAAAAAATTACGAGTATATAGATATAAAAATGATAATAAGTATATCATTTTAAAATACAAGTCTTTAGAGAAATGTGTTATTCTAGACAAAACAAGTAGAGGGATTAAAACTGTAAAAACACAAAAGTAGAGGGATACCATCCCTTCGTATCCCCCCACTTCGAGCACTGTATATATGTATATTGTACATCAATATAGGTACTTATTATGTTACTACTTTCCAGAGGTTTTAACAATTACTATAACATGTCTGACTATTGAAAGATAAATACATGTTCACATATTTCATTCTGTATTCAAATATATCTTAACTAATATTGATTAAATTTTAATGAAAAAAATAAAATAAAAAGTGGTATTAACTTACTATTAATATTGAACTATTTTAAAGTTAATAGATTTTCAGTTTTCTTAAAAAATTTCAATATAGAAACTATATAAAATTTAATGTGGTATTTAGTGTGGTAACATTGTTATTACCTACTTTTACTGTACAAAAACATAATATTAGTTTTCAACGAAAACAATATTATTCTTATTGATGTCAATTTTTTTTTGAAAAATAATAAATTAAAATTAATAAAACGGATTTTATGGTATTTTAATACAAGTATTTAAATTTTGGTAAAAATACAATTAAAAAGTATTCAAAAAAATTAAAAAATACATAAAAAAATTGTATTTAAAATACCATATAAATACTTCAAAAAGTATTTAAATACAAGTATTCAAATACTCATATTCGATTACTTTACAAGATTGAGTATCAACTCAGACTTAATAACTATTGTAACAATAATGAGTATAAAATATATATATGTATATCTATTTATTTTTAGATATTTAAAATCAACATTTTCGTTAAATTATTTTAATTACTTTATTGTGTTTTTCTCCTTTTATCTTTTTTAAACATTTTATTTTTATTTCAGTAATTAAATAACATTATATTTTTTTTGTTCTGCACGATTTAATGTTATAGATTTTTCATATATATTTTAAATTATATAGTACAGGGTTGGGACACAGGTTATGTAAGTAACATGGGCCACATCCGGCCCGCAAGCCATTTTTGTGGCCCGTATTATATTTTTAAATTACGTCATAGATTTTTAAAGTTTATCGTCTATCGATATTATAATTGTTATTTGTTATTAAACATCGTTAAATGTCATATAATAAGGAACAAATAAACGGTTTGACAAAGTATGTTAAAATGGTCTAATCAAATTTGATAAATTCGATACGTAAATATCAATTTATTTTTTATCAATTTTATATCAATACTAATTCTATGAACAGAATAAAAAATATTCTATTTATAATAGGGAATAATGGGAATGTAACACTCTAATGACACCAAAATAATGATAAACCAAGAAATATTTGCAAAAATCTGAAAATTTACATTTTGGGCCGAGCTGACGCAACGGTCGAAATAGAAAATTGCTTTTTTAGCCCATAAAAAAATGTCATGCGAATTCGAGTGATGGACGTGCAAATTTATGCTAATTACATGATAAATATTGGGCCAATTTGTTTGCCAAAATTATAAATGGGCTGGAATAGCGCAAAGTATGTCATGCACAGCCGCTTTAATCATGATGAACTAGCACTGCTGTTGCTAATGCCGATGGGTAGAATGTAGAATGTAAGTATATCTACATAATTCTTATTAAATTAATCTCGAGTCCAAAGTACGAGAGCGCTAATCGTCTCATCTCGATACACCGTTTTGCGTCTTATCGTCGATTACAAACGGTTTTACCTTCCGTACTTGCCAAAAGATAGAAGACGCATATACTCGTACGCATATCACATGTTTAGGTTGATGTTAACTCGTACGGAAACCCAGAGAGATTTCTACATCTCTCACGCATGTGCGTCCCTATCCACAATATTTAAAGTACGATAATGCTAATCACCCAATCTATCCTGTCACTACAGACGGTTTTATTCGACCCCATCCAAGCACTCAAAAGATATTCCACACCAAAAAAATATTTTTTTTTGTAACATTTATCGTGATTCGAAAAAAGTTTCAGTTTCAGTTAATTAATAACAAAAAAAAAAAAATTTTTTACAGAATATAAATCTATTCAGTCTATTATTTCGCTAGAAGATAGTTCAAAACTTCAATACGTATTAAAGGAACAACAAAACTGCAACAAGAACAAAATCGATAACAAACTGATACATATCGAAGTAACTATTCTACCCACTAT